GACGGGGGTGTTACAAGTTGTGGTATCAGAGCTATAGGTTATGATCCTGTAGTACAATTTAGGTTTGATCTGTGAGAAATGGGTAGAACTAAGATAGGATTATCTTAGACTCTATACTTTCCTATGGTGATAGTGGTACAAAAGGAAACAGATTTGTGTTTCAAGGGAATTCTACCTGGCGAAGAACCAATCGGACAGGTCTGTGGAAACAACCCAATTATAGACCTCCAATTGCATTTCAAGGAACTTCTAGTAAAGGTTTTTCGAATACAAATTCTCTGTTATGGTGCAAAGATTGTGGTTTTAGACATCGTCCTGGCCCATGTATTCGAATGACCGGCGCCTGTTATAATTGTGGTCAACAAGGTCATATAGCTCGTGATTGTAAACAAGGGCCGAAAGATAATTCTAATAAATAAAGAGAAGCAATCTACTGCTGGTGGTCGAGTGTTTACACTATCTGCTGACAAATCTACTGCGGGTATGGTTTTTGGTACCCTTTCTATTGACAGTAGAGTTGCATATGTTTTATTTGATACAGGTACTACACACTCGATTGTTTCTGAAAACTTCGAAGAAAATCTTAAATCATATGAACAATCCACCGAATTTTCATTACATATTACTACTCATATGGGTAGTTTAGTATGTATATTTGGGCAATTCCCAAACTGTCCATTATTTATTGGCGATCGAATTCGGGAAGTTACTTTACTACCAATGAAAATGGATCACTTTGATATCATCMTTGGCATGGATTGGTTGTCTAAACATCGWGTGACYATCGACTGCAAAKCCAAACAAATCATCTTCGGTGACGTCAATRAACCCGAATAYGTGTTCCAGGGTGTTTCACCTRAGAAGGGAACTCGTGTTATCTCARAAGTAAATGTTAAAGCAATGGTMTGGCAARGATGTGAAGGRTTTTTAGCTTCAYTACAAGATCYMGAAGAGGTATGCCTTAAACTTGAAGATATTCCTGTTGTTAATCAATTTCAAGACGTCTTTCCAGAAGAACTTCCAGGAGTTCCTTCGGAAAGGGAAATTGAATTTACAATTGATCTTGTTCCRGGAGCTGTACCTATCTCAAAGGCTCTGTATCGTATGGCTCCGACCGAAATGAAAGAACTTAAGGAACAACTTGAAGATCTTTCTAATCGGGGTTTCATTCGACCCAGTGTATCTCCGTGGGGTGCACTGGTCCTATTCGTTAAAAAGAAAGATGGATCAATGCAATTGTGTATTGACTATCGGGAACTAAATCGGGTTACGGTACGTAATAAATACCCTTTACCTCGTATTGACGATCACTTCGATCAACTCTAAGGAGCAAAGTATTTTTCTAAGATCGACTTAAGGTCTGGATATCACCAACTCCGGATCAGAGATCAGGATATTCCTAAGACTGCATTTCGTACTTGATATGGGCATTACAAGTTCATTGTTATGCCATTCGGGTTAACTAATGCTCCAACAGTTTTTATGGATCTTATGAACCGAGCTTTCAAAGATTATTTGGACGACTTTGTTATCGTTTTTATTGACGATATTCTTATATATTCAAAGTCGAAAGAAGATCACGAAACTCACTTTCGTATTACTTTAGAAACTCTTCAAAATAAGAAGTTGTATGCAAAGTTTTCTAAGTGTGAATTCTGGTTGCATCAAGTGGCATTTTTGGGCCACATTATATCCGGCGAAGGCATTAAAGTCGATCCTGCAAAGGTTGAGGCTATAACTAACTGGCCAAAACCAACAAATGTTTCTAAAGTCCGAAGTTTCCTAGGTCTGGCAGGTTACTATCGATGGTTTGTTGAAAACTTTTCCCGGATCGCGCTCCCTATGACTAAACTTCTTAGAAAAGAATTTAAATTTGTCTGGGGTGAAGAACAGGAAAAGGGTTTTGAAGAACTGAGAAAGAGATTGATTACAATGCCTGTTCTTGCATTGCCATCTGGATCGGGAGGTTTTCAGGTTTATAGTGATGCTTCTAAAAGTGATCTTGGCGAAGTGATTGCGTATGCCTCTCGCCAGCTCAAACCTTATGAATTAAACTACCCTACTCATGATCTTGAGTTGACAGCAGTCATTTTTGCACTCAAAATATGGCGTCACTATCTGTACGGAGAGACTTATGATATCTTTACTGATCACAAAAATTTAAAGTACATCTTCATGCAAAAAGAGTTGAATATGCGTCAACGACGATGGCTCGAACTTCTTAAGGACTACGACGTCCGAATTAAATATCATCCAGGCAAAGCCAATGTAGTGCCGATGCCCTTAGCCGTAAAAACAGTGGTAACGTATCGTCTTTAACCGTTTAGTCCCATATTGCTTCAGATCTAGAACGTATGGGTATTTCTCTATGTTATCATGTTACAAATGAACTTTTGGCTAGTCTCACGGTTGAACCAACTCTTGTATCTCGAATCAAAAAGGCTCAACAACAGAATGGAGAACTTTGGGCTATCTTACAAAAGGCTAACGATGATTCACAGTCTAATTTTCGAGTGATGATAAAGGTATTATCTGGTTCTCTAATCGACTTTGTGTACCCGACAATCCTAAACTCAAAGAAGCARTTATGAGTGAAGCTCATAATTCGTTATTCTCAATTCATCCCGGATCCACTAAGATGTACCGAGATCTAAAACAATACTTTTGGTGGAACGGTATGAAAAAGGGATATAGCCGAATACGTAGCAAAATGTCTTACTTGCCAGAAAGTGAAGATTGAACATCAACGGGCTAGCGGATTATTACAACCATTAGAGATTCCAGTTTGGAAATGGGAACATATCTTTATGGATTTTGTAACAGGACTGCCGAAAACTCAGAGACGACATGATGCTATATGGGTAGTAGTTGACCGTTTGACAAAATCGGCTCATTTCCTACCTATACAGGAGACGTACCCTGTTAGTAAACTGTCCGATCTATTCCAGCAGGAAATCGTGAGGTTGCATGGAACTCCAGTTTCTATCATATCAGACCGAGATCCGCGATTCACTTCTCGATTCTGGAAAAGTCTTCACCAAGCTTGGGGTACGCGATTGATTATGAGTTCAGCTTTTCATCCACAAACAGATGGTCAGACTGAACGAACYATTCAAACTCTAGAAGATATGTTACGGGTTTGTGCTCTTGAGTGGTCTGGTGGTTGGGACGAGTCTTTATATCTTGTGGAATTCGCGTATATTAATAGTTGGCAAACTAGTATTGGCATGGCCCTGTACGAAGCTTTATATGGTCGGAAGTGTAGAACACCGATCTGTTGGAATGAAGTGGGGGAACGAGCTATCGAAGGACCCAAACTTGTCCGAATTACTACTGAACAAGTCGAGATCACAAAACATAAAATGAAAGAGGCTCAATCTCGACAGAAAAGTTACGTTGACAAACATCGAAAGCATTTAGAGTTCCAACCGGGTGATCACGTCTTTCTAAAGTTTCACCGTTACGAGGTATTCGTAGGTTTGGAATTACAGATAAACTTAGTCCAAGATATATCGGACCCTTCGAAATATTGGAACGTATTGGAAAGGTGGCATATCGCCTAGCATTACCTCCTCAATTTTCACATATCCATAACGTTTTCCGTATCTCGTCACTCCGCGGATATCAATATCACCCTCTCCATGGATTGATTATCCGTTGGACAAAGTTGAAGAAAATCTCTCTTATATTGAAGAACCCGATGCGATAATTAATCGAGAAGAGAGACAAATGCGATGAAGGTCAATACCGTTCATTAAAGTGTTATGGCGAAATCATTCTTGTTAGCATCATTTTGATCCTAATAATTATCTCAAAAAGTTTTATTAAGCAATCGGGGCTAAGAATGGAACATCTGAAGATGCTTTTGTGCCAAAACGTCTAAGTCTGGAAGAAGACCAGCCTCTGTGATAAATCGACCAAGTATGGACGACCAGAGCCTCTGTAAGAAGATCCAGAGCCTCTGTGAAGTTAACCAGAGCCTCTGTGAAGTCACCAGAACCAGAGCCTCTGTAAGAGACACCAGAGCCTTTGGTTGTATTGACCAGAGCCTCTAGAGGACCAGAGCCTCTGTGGTCTCTCTATCCTCTGGTCCTTCAAGACGACTATCTTCAGTTTCCTATTCTGGATAAGGCTAATCCTAATTTTGGATAATGCTAATCTTATTCAGATTATCATGGATTTCTGCCTATATAAGTAGTGGTTCAGGTATAGAAAAAATACGAGAGCAAATAGAAAATTTATTGTAAACACATAGATTCATATACATCTCATGAGAGTCGATTAGGGTTCTTGAGAGTTTGTAATTTC